GCAGACAGCCGCAGGGCCAGGGAGACGGGCTCTGCCTTCTGGCCTTGGGATAGCCCCTGTACCCCGAGGCGGCTGGAAGGGGCTCCCCACTCCTGCAGTAGCAGCTTCCTCCGGGACCTCAGCCCTGTCAAGTCTGAGCTGGCGAGATCTGGGGCTCTTCTGGCCACCTGCACCACCACGAAGGAGCCTGTGCCAGCAGGCTGAGTTCTGCCAACTCTGCTTCAACAGGGGTAGTCTGAATCCTTCTGCCTGTGTCATCTGCTTTGTGCTACTATTCATCTGGCCAGAAATGCCCCTGCCACATCAGAAATCTCTGCCGCTCCCCAGAAATATCTGAGAAAGCCCCATACTTTCCCTGAAGCTATGGCTTGAGTCTGATTCAACTTGTACGGGCCCCCCAGGGAGCTCAGGGACTGGTCCCAGACCATCTGAGATGCTGGGTCTGCAGACTGTTTGACACTGCTCGGAGTCCTCCATTCCCTTGCCAGCTCTGCCAAACCCTGCATGCGAAGCCAGAGGTGTGATCCCGCAGCTCTCAGCTCTCCTGCCACAGCCAAGCCACCAAAGAGGTCTGGCCCTGCAGGGCTGTCCTGCCTCGCTGCAGGGAAAGACAGGTAGTGATTTTTGTTTGCAAAAGAAGCAAAAGTGTTGAAGAAAAGCTGTCGTCCTTTGTTAGCTCTTCCAGGGCTCTGATGAGAGCAACAGGCCCTTTGTTTAGAGTAAAGCCGGAATCCATGAGGCACAAAGGAGGAAGGGGAACAGAGGTCCTGAGTCTTGCGAAGGCAGTACTGGGGCTTTTGTCTGACTGGGACTACTGCCAGGGCTGGGACCCTTGGGACCAGGCAGCCCCAGGGCTCCGGGGTGCCCCTGAGCTGTGGCGGTGGGAAGATCTGTCTGAGTGGGGTTGGAGCCCCAGAAATCTCGCTGTTTGCCCACGATCAGGTGTGGGCAGCCCGGCAGGGACCCTGGCAGGAGGGAGCTGTCTCCCCCTCCTCTGTGAGCGTCCTGAGCGGAGGACTGGGGGACACAGGGTACCCCCCACCCCAGCACGGCACCTGGAGCAGGGGGTCCGTGCCTTGGAGGAGCAGCAGCCAGCCCTGCGTGGAGCCTTGGGGCAGGCAGGTGCTGCAGGGCAGGTGTTCGCCGCCTCGTCGCTGCTGGAAAGCGTACTGGTGCAGGAAGGCTTGGGCTGGGAGTTCTGCCTGTGTGTGTGATGGGGAGGTACTGAGCAAGTAAGAGAAAGGAACAAGGGTGACTGAGTTGTGTGAGCCCACGGCAGGAGTCCTCGCTGCGTCCCATAGACTCTGCCGACCTGCTTGCTGCTGTTTCAGTGGCAGCAGGAGTGGCTCAGCAGCAGGGAGCACTGGAAGTGCCTCCAGTAATTCCCAGGCCCAAGCAGCTGGCCTGGGCTGTGCAACACGCTGACAGCAGCCACAGGTGACTCAGACCAAGGATGGGAGATTTAAGGAGACTAGGGCCAGTTCTGATGTATCGGGGTGCGCTAGGAGTGGCTTAGTTGGTCGCTGCTCCAACAGTGTGGCCCGGCCTGAGCTCTGGGAACTGCAAACGCTCCTTCAGACACCAGGGCAGTCACTGCCCCCCACGAAGAAATGCCGCTCTTTCCTTCCTGGCTATCAATGCTTCACCCTGGGCAGCAATCGATTCTGCAGCTGCCAGGGGCCTGATCCTCACTCTTGTAGCCTTCTGCAGAGGTGGAAGGAACAGTCTCTCAACAGCTAGAGCAGTCGAGTCCCTGGGCTGCAGATCCCAGTTACAGGTTGGGACAGTGGAAGAGGTGGGGGCAGCTGCTTGCTCATGAGCGGGCTGGAGCTGAGCAGGGGCTGGGGCGATGCAGCCGAGTGCTGTGACAGCAGGTTCCTGTTTCGCCTGACTGCTGGCTGCCATCGGCCCTGCCCACGTCCAGGCTATGGCAGTGCTCACAAAGAGAATGGTGCTAGCTAGCCAAGGAGGCAGTGGCTGTTAGCCTGGCTGTTGTGTGGTCATTCCTCTCCCAGTATTCAGAAGTTACCAGCTGTATATATGCCAAGAATCTTGTTTTTGAGCTGGGATTTGGTGTCGTTGGAGCCTCCACAGCAAGCATCCTTGGGGTTGCCTACAGGGAGCTCCCCAGAGCAGGGACTGTCGGGTCTGTTCTGTGGCTGAAAGCTGGAGGAAAGGGCAAAGTGCTGGGCAAGCTTGATGTCCCGGTTAGGCAAGTGCATCACAGAGAGGGGAAGAGTCCAGCAGCGTGACTGACTGCCAGCACCCTGCAGTCTTGTCCTCTTCCTGATGCCCCAGCGTTTTTCATTCCCAGCAGCAGAAAGGTCATTGCAGACATCTTTCCCCAGAGGAAGAGTCCCAAGCTGATCCTAGGGTGGAATGAGTGAAACAGCCTCCCCTCCTTATCTGGGAAAGGCAGGTCAGTTGGCACTTCACCTGGAGAGCCCTTCATCCTGGAGTCATTTGATCCTACCTGGGGTCTGCTGGTGTGGAGACCAAGCCTTGCGTTCCTGCATCAGTCCATTTCATCAGCGCTGATGATCTCCAAGCCGCCATGGCTGCTGCTGGGGTCTGTGCAGGACACACCACGGAGTGCTCTCAGCAGTGGCAAAGGGCAGGCATCTTTCCAGCCAGATGCCACTCATGCTTCTGTCCCCCATGAAATGCAAGATCCTGAGACTGCTACGTGAGCAGCATGACACTCTCCATCATGGCACAGTAGCAGGAGTGGGATTTTACCCTCAGGTTGTTCTGGGGTAAGCAGCTGTGCGTGATGGAAAGAGATAGAGAGTTGGGTGCTGTGCTCAGTACCTGTCAGTGCAGGTGGTGGTGCGTGCGAAGGCAGCGAGAGCCTGGAAAGAGCGCTTGCAAGAGAGGAAGGGCTGTGCTCTCCCACCACCCCCATCGGAGCTGTCCTTCCTCAAGGAGACTTCCCGTGGCTGCACCCGTTTTATGAGGGTGTTTGTGGACACAGCCTTGCTCAGCCAGTGCCTGGTGGCCCAGCAGCAGCTGAGGTTGGCCGTGCCCTTGGTGGGACCCAGATGGTGGCCTCTGCCCCCGTTCACGAGCTCTGCTGGGGTGCAGCAGGTTCCTCAGTCATTGCCCTCCTGCTGCTTCCCTCCACAGTAAGAGACTCCTCTGGCCGCAGCTTGTGGGGAGAGTCGGGCAGAGGAGGGGACCCCCTCCGGACCCCCTCCGCTCGCCTCCCTGCGTCTGCCCCTGCGGACAGACCCCGCCAGGCTGGAGGCCAGCACGGCTCTGCCTTGCTGCGGGCCAGGCTGGGCCCCTCGCCCTCCTTGCTGTCTCTGGAGCTGTGCAGTTGACTCCCTGCTTTTAATAGAGAGCTGGGAAGGCACATTATGGAGATGAGGGTGTTATTTGCATAACGCTAATTAGGTAATTACAAATCATTTTGCTATGAGCTGAAGCGTGTGCTGTGACATAACGTTTATTAGTCATTCCATTCAGGCCCCGCTTAGTTAAGTCATTTACTGCACTAACTACTGAAGTTGGCAATAAAAGGTAAATGCTGGTGCATGGGTGCAAAGCTGAGACAGGGCACCCCATGCAAATCTGAGGGCCGTGTGCCCGCTCGGCGCAGCCTGCGACACGGGCTGGCAGGGCAGAGCCCAGCCCCGGCAGCCCGGACTGGGAGGGCATCACTGCCATCAGGGCAGTAGCTGGAGGCGGAGACCACATTTTAAGCCTTGGTTTTCATCAGGCTCTTGGTTGTTTTGGGGCTGTTTTCTGAGGCCCAGGTGGCCTGAGGTGCTTTCACACGTTTTCACTGTCCCCCGTCTCTCTGCGGCTGGCTCTGCCACCCAGCGCGGAGGTGCCTGTGCTTGACACCCTCGCTGGAAACCCACCAAGCAGCCTGTGTCTGTAGGGATGCAGACGCTTCCGTTTGTAGCCAGCCTCTAAGTGCCTGGCAGTCTGAGCAACCCTTGGGGCTCACCAGAAATACCTTCCCTGAAGACAGAAAGTCAGGAATTTGTCCCCACGTGTTTCACAGAGAAGTGCGTTAATATTGAGGCTGTATCTCCTGGGGTTGCTGGCGAGGCGCAGATGCCCATGCTGTGCAGAGGAGTGGCTGAGGTACCTGAGGAGCAGTTTGCCTGGCCCTGCCCTGCCAGGCACTTTGCCCCGTGCGCATCCCTGCTGCCGTCCGTGTGCCTCTGGGAAGCAGCTCCCAGGTCTGGGAGCCAGAGGCTGCCTGCCCAGCAGGGATGGAGAGGTGCCGGAGCTGAGGATGGCATCGCTTTTCCTCTCCGTGGCTCCTGCCTGGGTCTCTGCAACTTAATGCTTCTCTGTGGGAAAACAGCGGCTGTGCCCTGTTGTGTGGGTCTGTGGGATCCCTGCCCACCCTGGGCCTCTCAGCTGGCGGTGACGCCCCTTCTCGATGCATGGGACTGTGAAGAGCTGCCTTTGAGCCTGACTCAAGGGCCCTCCTTGCATCTCCTGATGCAGTGCGCAGGGCCCTGTCCCTCTAAAGCCACTCATCAGCGGGCACCGAGCGCTCTGCGGGCCCTTGGTGGGTGATGGGGCTGTTCAGGGGCACCAGCTCTGCAGAGGAGCTGGTTCCACTGCTCAGGAGGTCAGCAGCTTTCTCCAAGAGTGGGACATACAGGGTGTGGAGAGCAAGGCATAAGCAGCTTCCAGGAGTCCAGTGCCACAGCCTCCTGGGTTTCCTGGCTCGGCACAGAGGGGGCACGAGGCTGCCGATGTTGGTGTGCAGAAGGAAGCCCACGCCAGTGGAGCTGGCGTGCAGGGAGCTGTGTGAGCAGCAGCGGGGACTGGCGCAGAGCTCTGGTTCCTCCCTGCAGGCACTCTCTGCCTACGCTTCCCTGTCCCAGGCTCCCGGGGACCGCTGCTGCCAGCGATGCTGCCCGTGTGCGGGCACAGCGGTGGCCCGCAGGGAGCTGGCCGTGCACTCATGCCCTGCAAAGCTGGCAGACCCCTTCCTTCCCTGCCCCATCTCATGGCACACCTCTCTTTTCCAGAACCAGATGAGCCATTTGAGTTCATTATCGTGTCCCTGACGGGCCAGACGTGGCTCTTTGAGGCCTCAACGTCAGAGGAGCGAGAACTTTGGGTCCAGGCCATCGAGAGCCAGATCCTGGCCAGCCTGCAGGGCTGTGAGAGCAGCAAAAATAAGGTAAGAGGTTTTGGCTGAGTTCTACCTTGTTCCCTCCTCTCTGGTGTGTGCTTTGCTGCATCTGTTCCTGTCCCAGGCTTTCCTGTCTGTCCAGGCTGGAGCCCTTCCTGATCCCTCTGCTCCCAGTCAGGGTTGAATCCCATCCCTGGGGCTGTGCTGCTCCCCCCCGGGGTTTGCTGTGACCTCTCTGAGCTCCCTGACCTCTCCCCGGCCTGGCTCTGGCCCCACAGAGCTCTCTGCTTCCCGCCGGGGCTGGATCCTGCACTGTCCGCTCTTTCCTTGGACAGCTTTGCCTTTTCGCTCCCCTCTCTGGTCTACCATCCTCTGCTCCTCCGGCACACAGCCGGCTACACCTCGATGTTCCCTGTGGACCCTGTCCTCTGAGTGCCCGTGCTGGACACCCTGCCGGCAGCAGTGCCTGCTGGAGCAGGTGCTGGCAGCTCCACAGCAGGTTCTTGGGGTGGCGGTGAGAGGACACGAGGCAGGGCAGCGGGCCTGGAGTAAATGAGGTTCCCCTGCATTTTGTTTCAGGCTCGGCTGGGCAGCCAGAGCGATGCACAGGCCATACAGGCCGTCCGCACCGCACGTGGGAACAGCTTCTGTGTGGACTGCGATGCACCGGGTAAGAGACGCTACGGTGGGAGGTGGGGCCACTCACCTAGGGAGGGGAGGGGGACTCCACCCCAGCACCTCCTCTCCTGCCCCACAGAGACCTGCTCTGTGGGGCTGTCTCCTGTAGTGGACCCATTCTTCAGGGATGGGGGACTGACCACCTGCCACACTGGTCCATGACCCCTTACCAGCCTGGGGTCCTTGCCTCTCTGTGCTGCTGGGGCACTGGGCTTGGAAGGGATCTGGTGGACAGGTGCCTACAAATATGAGTCTTCTGGATCATAGGAGACAAGCTGGTGAGTCCATGCTGGTATTAACTCTCCCCCACTGATCTTGTTGCCTTCAGGTCCGGACTGGGCAAGTCTAAACCTGGGCTCCCTCATGTGCATTGAGTGCTCCGGGATCCATCGCAACTTGGGCACCCACCTGTCCCGTGTGCGCTCGCTGGACCTGGATGACTGGCCTAGTGAGCTTCTGATGGTCATGACGGCCATTGGCAACGCCCTGGCCAACGCTGTCTGGGAAGGAGCGGTGGAAGGCTACCCCAAGCCCACCCCTGAGAGTAGTCGGTAAGGCAGATGGGGGACTGCAGAGATGCTTCTCAGACAGCTACACCAGGAGGCTTGAGGGTACCACGGTAGGCTGGGAGCAGCCAGCCAGCCGAACAGAGAGGTGGGCAGGAATCCTCGATGTACTCCAGGCTCCAGGGTCCTGACTGGTCTCTGGGCACCGGAGACCCTCTGCCACTGTCCTGATGGCCAGCAGGGCTTCATGGCCGGCCACGGCCATGTGGTGACTGCTGGAGCCGTGGCTGGCTGCAAAGCAGAAGGGGTTAACAGAGATGGCTTGGCAGCGCCGTTCAAGTCTCAAGGGTGCGTCCCTTTCAGGCCCTTGTCTGTCCCTATCGGAGCGACTCTCCTGTCACTCATTCCAACAAGAGCCCATTCTGCGGCTTATCAACGGATAAGAGCGGGTCAGGGGGCGGCGGGAGTGAGCATGCTCCACGCAGGGCATTGATGGCCGCCCGCCAGATGCAGATGGATAGAATGGCAGCAGATAGCGGCGGGACGGGCCACATCGGTCCCCCTGGCGCCCCACCCCCCGTTTTTTCTGCTGCAGCCTTTGTTTGCACCAGGCGAGACGGCAGCAGTGATAACGTGCCTCCCGTGGCACTGGGCTGGCGTGTGCAGCAGCTAACCTTTTCTTGCTGCTGGCCACGGCCCACACACAAGCGCGGGATGGAGAAGGTCCCCAGGCTGCCACATAGCAGGCACTCAGGAGAGCGTGCAGGGGCACTAGTGTGGAGGTGCAGGTGTCCCTTTGCACAGTGACTGGTGTGGGGTCTGGGTGCGGGACGCTGCTGCTGTACATGCATGGACGTAAGCGCAGCATACGTGGGGGCTGTAAGGAGGTGCAGAGGCATGAGCGTGTGTTGGGCGTGTGTCCGGAGCGGTGTGACAGAGCCCCAGTGACAGCCGTGTGCGGGGGGGGGCACACAGGGGAGGTGTCTGCAGCAGGGGCTGTGCAGGGGATGCCGGTTTGTTACAAGCACCCACTGCTAACACGGGGTGCGTTCCGGGTGGCAGCGCTGGTGTGCGTGCCCCTTTGCACGTGGGGCCCAGGCAGGCTGGCCCACCTGTGACAGTGACAGTGTCCCATCTGGCAGGGAGGAGAAGGAGCGCTGGATCCGGGCCAAGTATGAGCAGAAGCTCTTCCTGGCTCCGCTGCCCCAGTCGGACATCCCGCTGGGGCAGCAGCTGCTGCGGGCTGTCGTGGAGGATGACCTGCGCCTCGTGGTGACGCTCCTGGCCCATGGCACCAAGGAGGAGGTGAATGAGACCTACGGGGACGGAGATGGGCGCACAGCACTGCATCTCTCCTGCGCCATGGCCAACGTGGTCTTCACGCAGCTGCTCATCTGGGTAAGGCAGGACCCCGCAGCCTCCACCACGGCGTTTCTGGTCCTGTCCCGGTGCTTCCCCACTGCAGCACCTGCCCGCTCCCAGGTCTTGAGACACCCCTTGTCTGTCCCCCTCGCGCAGGTTCCCCCATGTGCCTGTTGGCTCTGCCCTGCCCACCCTCCTGTCTCCCTCTCCCTGCGCGCCCCAGTCCCACGGAGCCGCTCTGCCGGTGCTCTTGCCACACCAGCCTCGGCAGCCAGGAGTGCATCGACATCCTGGTGCAACACGGGTGCCCCAGCGACAGTGCCGTCACCACGCTGACCCCCAGCCTGCCCCGCCGCAACACCAACGCCAACAACAACGCCTGCACCATGTTGCCAGCTGAGCTCAGCTCCAGCCCCAGTGCTGTCTAGGTCCCCACGGGCCTTCCACTCGCCACACAGCCGCCTTCCAGCCCTACCAGGGACCACGGCTGCAGGAGTGGGTCTGAGAGCAGCACAGCCAGGCAGCCCGCTGTGCTCACCCCGCACCGGACCCCCGTCCTGGCCAGGAGGAGGCTGGGGAGCCAGCAGCCTGCTCCTCTGCACCGATTCCTGTGGACTCTCCCCATGCAGCGGGGAGGGGGTGTTGTGCAGACCCAGTGCTGTCAGCTTGCAGAGGGTCCCCCCCGTAGTCACCGGGATGGGGGCTCCAGTACAACCCGTTCTCATGACCGGTACAGGAGGAGGAGAGGCAGTTTCTCTGTGCTCCCCCCACCACACACACATGTAGATAATACAGGGGCTGGAGGCAGTTCTGTGGCCTTCTCCTGTGCAGCTGGCACTGGGGAGGGTGATTGCTGCACCCGCTCCCAGAAACGGTAGGGCAGTCTGGGCAGTTCCCTCCCGCGTCGACCTTGCCGTGCACCCTGGGTGCAGTGGGGAGGGGGGGTGCAGCAGAAGGTGCATGTTTCTCCACTGCGCCCCTGTGCTCCTCTCTGCTTCTGGCCATGCAGGGAGGGATCCCCTCGCTGGTACCGCTCCCCACATGCTGATGCAAAAGGAGCTTTTCTCCCACACAGCCGCTGGACAAAGGTCCCTCCAGCCTCCCTGATGACCTACAGGGGGAAGAGGATGGTCACCCCAGGATCCCCAGCTGTGTCTGTCTGTCTGTAGAGTCACTGTCCTTCCAGGTTCAAGCCCCAAAGCCATACACAGTGTCTCCATCAGAGCATCACCGCTGGCTCCCGCTGCTGCCCAGGTGGGGCTGGTCTCCGGCTGAGCAAGAGGAGAGAGGAGATGAGCATCTCCCTTTGGTTTTGGGCCAAGCTTGCAGCTGAGTGCTGGAACCCCAAGGCTTTGGACACTGCTGTGGAATGTCTCTGTCACTTGTGTATAAAATGTACATTGGAAATATTTATATGGACACTCTGTATATACTGTTTCTTTGCCATGAGTTGCCCTGTGTGTGTTATCTGCAGCCAAGGAGACTAAGGCCAATAAAGCAACCCATCTCCTGCCAGCCCAGCTTTTCTGTGTGCTGCCTTTTGGGCCTCCAGTGCAGCCTCCAGTCTGCTTCTTGCCCACTCTGCAAGGTCTGGTGGATTTCCATCCCAGACTGACAAATGTTCATCCCTTTCTCCTCCAGCTTGGAAGTTGGTAACAGCAGTCCTGTGCTGAACTGGGCCCTTTGGTGGACATGGCAGAGTGCTGGGATGGGGAGGGGAGCTTTTAGGGGACTGGAGCATCTCTCCCATGAGGAAAGGCTGAGAGAGCTGGGCTTGTTTAGCCTGGAGAAGAGAAGGCTGAGAGGGAACCTTAGAAATGCCTATAAATATCTTAAGGATGGGTGTCAAGAGGATGGGGCCAGACTCTTTCCAGTGGTGCCCAGCGACAGGACAAGGGGCAATGGGCACAAACTGAAGCAGAGGAAGTTCCAGCTGAACTTCTTCCCTCTGAGGGTGACAGAGCACTGGAACAGGCTGCCCAGGGAAGTCGTGGATTCCCCTTCTCTGGAGATTTTCAAGACCCGGCTGGACGCGGTCCTGTGCAGCCTGCTCTGGGTGACCCTGCTTTGGCAGGGGGGTGGGTGGGGGGGGACCACACG